AGAGAAAAAAGTCAAAACTAAACAAAATGAAAACTAATTGGAAAAAACCAAAAGTACTGTGATCACACATCAAACAACCCTGCAGTCAGAGGTTATGTGCAAGTTTCCTGTTTAGAAGTAAGAATCACACTGCAAACATGGATTTTTTGTTAATTAAAGATGTTTCCTAAAATGTTGAATAGATTCCTGCTCAGATATCAGATATAGAAATGACTTTGTATGACCAAATGCTGTCCAGCTCACATATTACATGTTAGTTAAACAAGAATGCAAAATCCATGTTGCATATGGCTTAGATTTACATTCGAAAACAACACACAAGTTAAGCTGCAAATAGCAGCTGGTTCAAGTGGATTTTGGCGTCAGTTGCTCAGAATGACATGCAAAAAGGAAGATGAGTGACTGGCATTCTTAAAAACAGTCAGAAGACACCTCAAGACAACATGCAGAGAAACACAGTGAAAGAAAAGGAAGCCACAATAAAGGAAAAATAAAGGTTTGGGATCCATCATGAGCAGCACAAACATGCTGTACTTAATGTGAATGTATATGTTCGAACTTCTTCCAAAATAAATTAAAGGTCATTTTTATAGTTTTTTTTGCATAAAGTTGTATTGTAGACAGCTGCAGCTATGTATACATATTTATTTTTTAAATATATTATGTCATTTTATATAGAAAGTTGGGGCTCTGACATCCTCTTTTATATATAAGCTGTTCTTATACAAGAAGCTTTTTCACAGTGTTTGGCTTTTGATTGTAAACATTACAGCTGTTGCTGAAGCCTTTAAATTCTCAAATGTCTACAGTCAAACCGACACATTGCATGTATGGCATGCTGATTTTTTTTAATAGCCACAAAAAAGTGGCTATTAAAAAAATAAATATTAATGAAATTACTTGCATGGATTAAGGCATGAATTGTGGATAGTAACGGTATGTGTGGCATATATAGTCACTGGGCACTTCATTAGGTACAGCTTACTAATACTAAGGTGTTCCTTGCTGGACCCCCTTTTGCCTTCACAGCTGTGTTTATTCTTTGTGGCATAGATTCTACAAGGAGCTGGAAGCATTTCTCAGTGATTTTGGTCCATACTGACACGGCAGCATTGCACAGTCGCTGCAGATTTGTCAGCTGCATATGCGTGATGATCTCCTCTTCCAGCACATCCGGTCATATAAAGGGATGAACATGGTCAACAACAATACTGTGGTGTTTAAACGACGCTCCGTTAGTACTAAGGGGCCCAAAGTGCGCAAAGAAATTCTTTCCCTCACACCATTAAACCACCACAAGGCTGAATCACTGCAGAACAGATCCATGCTTTCATGTTGTTTACGTCGGATACCATCTGAATGGTCACAGAAGAAATCCAGGCTCATACCAGACAATCTTTTTCCACTTCTGTAATTTGTTGTGCCATTTTTGTGAGTCTGTGCAACTTGTAGCCTCAGTTTACTGATCTTGGCTCACAGGAGTGTCACACAGTGTGCATTCTGCTGCTGCTGCCCACCTGCTTTGAGGTTTGATGTGTTGTGCATTCAGATGCTCTTCTGCACAGCTTGGTTGTAACAAGTGGTTATTTTAAGTTACTGTTGCCTTCATATAAACTCAAGGTAGTGGCCCATTATTCTCCTCTGACGGATACTGGATGTGCTTTCTTTTTCAGACCATTGCAGTTTCTGAGATACTCCGACCAGCCTGTCTGGTCTAAGTATTTCAAAAATGCCACCTTCACGGTTACTTGGATCCCCTTCTCGTTTTTTAGTTTGAACTTCGGCAGGTCACCTTGCTTAATTGCTTTGATCTGCTGCCATGTGATTGACAAGATATTTGCGTTAGCAAGCTGCTGAACATGTGTACCTAATAAAGTGATTGTCAGTTAAAAGTATGATCTAATACAAAGAAATAATCCATGGCTTCAAATCCAAACACGGTCTTATCAACGCCTGCTACAGGCATACTAGCAGAAACTGGTCGCAGTACACGTAAGTGTACTTTATACTCTGTACTACACCGTGAACGTCCAAAGAATAACACGGGCTTTACAGCTCAGAGACCAAATAAGATTCCGAACTTGATGTTTCGTTTGTGTTTCGTTTTATTAAACACGGTTGCCATGTTTGTGAAACACGTTAATAATGCGATGTACCTCCCGGAAGTTCCTAAAACTCACCTGTCAGGAAGAATCCTCCCAGGAGGAGCAGAGGTAATATCCGATACATACTCCGCCTGATTAATTCTTCTGTATAAATCCCTTCATGAAAGTTTATTAGAGTCCGGATCGCGACTATCGCTGCCAAAAGGACAAAGCCGTTTTTTTGGACAGTGAAAACCTCAGTGCACCTGTAGGCGGAGTTTTGCCTATTGCATAACACATGCCCATGCAATCTCACAACCGCTGAGTCGAAACGTGACACATTTCAACCCTACCTTCTTCTTACTCCTACTTTCTAAGAGCACATTCAGTTATTTACACAGCTAAAAGCGTCAGACACCTAAAACTTACCAACCCGCTATAGAAAACAGTAAATAAGACAACAAAAAACGCCCTGAAGGCAAACTGCTTCCTCCAGTCAGTCAAAAACTATCTGAAAATTAATCCGAGCACCCAGAGTTGCAAAGGAAGAGTTACCAGCATTACAGCACTTTGCGTGGAGGGGCTCTTGTCCTACAATATCCCAGCTATTATAGGACAAGAGGCAGGGTCCAATCTGAACTAACTGAAATCCAAAGAAAATGGTTACAAGTTTGGAAGTGGTGCAATCAGAAGTTACCTCTCTGTGCAATTAAGGTTAGATAGACACATTTACATTTTTACACCATAATACCAAGATTTGCTGTCAAAATGAATACTGAGAGATATTATATTACACAGGCTATCATCATACTTTCCCAACTTCTCTAGACAACATAAACAGTAGCTACATCCAGCTTTTACATACAGTCTATGTCATACGCTTGTCTTAAAAATGTAGTTATGCTGATGCAGGCTTAGATGAGCATATAACTTTATAATATAATACAATGTACAGCAGAATCAGAAGCTCTCCAATTAGGTCTGACCAGGCAACTAATGTCATTACAACTGAGTCTGTCTTCCTCCGTAGTGGACCTGTGGTCTACACACCAAATCTAAGTAAGATATTCACTATAGCTTTACAAATTGTGGTCTGGGATACCAGTAAATCTATAAAGAGGATGCCAGTGTTTGTAAAAATCTCATTTTGAGGCTTTATCTATTTACTGATAAATTTGATATCCTTCAGGATTTGTCTTCACAAACAAATACTTACAAAGCTAATCCGATGATAGGCACTGTTAATTTGAGTTTAATTGATGTTTAGTTATTCTCGATTTAAAAAATGACAAAACAATAAATTATAAAAGTTCTGACATTGAGGGAAATTCATAATGGTTTATTTACTTTCAGAGGTCTTCCAGGTATGTTTTAGGAGGTAAACGTATTGTATAAAAACTAGCAGCTGACAATATGAGTGATAAATGAAATGGAAAACATGAATCCTGGAGATCTGGTATGGCTCAGTTGTACTGTGCGGGGTATTTTAGCTGGTATGGGTGGCTTGGTTTGATCTACTGAAAACTTAAGCAGAGATGTGTAGGGGCTCCATCTGGTGGTTCATTTTGGTATGAGTTATTTTTCCCTAAGAGTAGCGACACTTCTTTCAAACCTTTCATTGAGCTTTCAGGGCACGTCTACACACGCAGAAAAGCAGTGGACTGTTTCAGTTGGTTAACAAACACCGCTGGGGACTTGGCTGGGCAAGGATTAAGAGGGAAAAGGCATTATAGAAACATAATACAAACAGGAGAAAATAAAGGAAGAACTAAAAGAATTTAAAGAGGTTTTAGTGATGGTGAATCATGCCATATGTGAAATCAAAGTTAAGACAATTTGTGTTTAAATAAATATCCCAGGATATTTTTTAGCATGTCTTATCTGCCAGTTTGTAAAATGTAAAAGTGAGCCAAACAAAAGCAACCTCGAAGTTTCCCAGGAACAAAGAAAGGCTATTATAAAGCTGATTTCTGTTACTGAAAAAGCCACAGGTTCTTCAAGAGTCATGAAGAATGCTTACACTGAAAAAAAGAAAATCTGCATTAACAATGATTGAGGCTCAGTTTGTTTAGTCGGAAACTGGAAGTGTTGGAGTCAGTGAGGGACAGGAAGTCACTGAACAAACTGATCATCATTCACAGCCATTGCTCCCGCTCCATTAGCCACACACTAAAGAGACTGCAGAGCCCATTCTTCCTCAGACTCATTCAGCCTCGCTGAACACTTCAGGAAATCACTCCTAAACAACTGTACAGCTCTCCTTTTTAGTGACAGGTGAACACACCTGTCAGAACATAGGATTACAGAGATATTTCTGTATCAAACCTTCTTGCGGCTGTTTCTTAGATTCATTAATGACATTTATTAAAATGTTTTGTACTCATTTGTGGTAGAATTCTCTTTTGCACAGTCTTAATCTTGTCTTTTATTTTTTTTATTCTTCATTTTGTTTTTCTGGAAAATGTGAAAAGTAGATAAAGATTAACTGTTTTTTTATTATAGTTGTTGTTTTTTCATTAGCTAATATAGAAATTTCTGGGGTTTTTTGTTTGTTTGTTTATTTACTACAGCAGGATTTCTCTATCATCTAGAAAAACTGCAACATACTATTGAAATTGCACTTCTTTTTGATATATTAAGATACTTTAGGTACTCAGAGTGTTGGTAAAGTTACTTACTCTGACAGAAAGGGGGGATTTCACTGTTTGTTCCACTTAAGATCAAAGCGGGGTGTATGTGGTGGTGGCCACTGGTGGGCTAGTGGTGGTTTGACATTACTGATGTAAAGCATATTTCCGCCAAATGTAGACCTACGGCCAGAGAGCAGGAATGTTTTATTTCCTGTGTTTTCCACAGTACTAGAATGCAGCATTTGCTCTAACGACCGTGATGCAATGCGGTCAGCTGACGCCGGGCTGGCATCAACGAGAGATCACCGTCGCACTCCGAAAACTAAACTGCACGACATACTCAGACATAGGAGCATGTCTTCATGTCTGGTCTTACACTAACTATTACCATCAAAAAATTTGATATAATTTCATTGTAAGAAAAAAATGCGAAGTTGTTCAAACACGCGACCACCTACCCATGATTCCTCGCGGGATCAGCTGTTGCGGTGGTGTGTTTTTGCCCTGCGGTTTCTCCTGAGGAAAAACCTCCCCTCGGTGCTGTGTTTTGGTGTCAGCGACCTCCGCAGCTTACAGAAGGTAGCTGTGCCCGGGTTTAGGTCAGGTGCACGATAGCACTGATAAGACTTTGAACTCGGAAGAATCCACTCTTCCTTCCATCGGTGTTTCGGCTGGTGGTGTCGAGCGGGCACTCTTGCCACTGGAACGATCTCTGTGCTTTCCCTCTGACACACCTTTTGTTGTCTCATCTAGCTCGAGGCTGCTAACACTTGCTAGCGAGCATCATACGCGTCGACTCCCTGACAGCGGTTCAGCGAGGCCGGGGAATAAAAAGTTAAGGGTCACCCAGGAGAGCCGACAAGTGACACCCTGCCAGGTAGTTTGTCTTGTAAATAAATAAGTAATTTCATTTTTTAAAAATATCTTTATTTGTTTATTTTTTTTAATTAACGACGAGCACGACAGACGTGTATCAGAGATGCAGCCACAACAGTCTCCAGTCATTAGCAAGCAGCTAACAAGCTAACGTCTGATAAACAGTAGCCTAGCGGAGTTAATGCGATCTGCTCTGTGATCTCTAAACACCCGCACTGAGAGCGAGAGTGGCCTGCAATCCGCATTAGGCCAGTCTGTCTGCTCCCGAAACGCTAAGCCGCTACATCACCCCGCTGCTCTCTGCTAGGTGGTGCAGATGCTTTCCTCTGTGCCCGGCATCAGCATGACGTCCTTCCCCCTCCTGTAGGTCGCACCATGTTTATTGCATGTGTAAATAAGCGCTAGGATTTCTTTCAGGATGAGTGGGGATGACGTGAACCCAGCAGCAGTCCCTCAGCCAGTACAAGATGTTCAAGGAGATGGACGGTGGCTGTCACAGGTATCAGAATACTTTATTAATCCCGAAGGAAATTAGGGAATCTCTATTGTTAGAGTGTTGTAAACATTTACTCTGTATTATCATTAATACCTCATATCCTTCTGATGTATGAAGGCGGTCTGAATGATGTGCATTATTTATCAAAGATAGTTCCCTTATGTGTTTCCATGGTAATTAGTTAGTATTAAGTCAGTGTTTAAATAAATAAAGTAAATAAATAAATAAAACCAGTTGTATAATTCAGCTCAGATGGGATGGCACTTTGGATCTGCACCTATGTGTGGCTTTGATAAGTAGGAGTCTTCTAAATTTTGCACGCTGTCCCCATCAGGAGTTTCTGTGTGACGCTTGGAGCGCTTACGATGGAGAGGAGGATGGCGCTGTGAGACTTTTATTGCTGAGAACTCTTGCAAATTAAACTAAAGCTTAGTATAATATACATTTCTCATGTTAATCGATGCGCCACTATAAGACATCGCTTCGATTTGGTGACCTTAGTCTGAGATTATGTTTTTATTTCTAATTCTTAAACACAGATGTTTATGACTGTGCTGCAATCCCGTGAAGCCAGTTAGTGTTGTTCAAGGTTCAAGGTTCTTTATTTGTCACATGCATAGTTATACAAGTATAACACACAGTGAAATGTAGCCATTGTCAGTTGATGTTTTGATCTTCTTAATAATATTAGTGTCTGAATAAGAATGGATGACAATGTTGATAATATTTATTATAGTAGTTATAAGCTCATGATCTGACTCAAAGAAAAGGCCACTAAATAAATATCAACCATGTGCTCACAATTTTTAGTCACTAAGAAGACTTTGTTTGTTCCAGTGCATCACTTTGTTTGGCTTGTTTAGTGGATCTTTCTAGAAAGTCTGCACAAAGTTAATCCTCCCAAAGCTAATAGGGCAGTCATTGAGACAGTCTGTTTTACTCGGAGCTCTCTGTCAGATAGGGCACCAGACGCATCTCGCCTATAACAAGCTTGAGGTTTTTTATCTGACTCTGATGGCTCACGACTGTCATCATACCGCTCAGATTTAGAGAGTCAAAACGCAGAGTTTTACATCAGGGGGCAAGTTCTCAGAATCAAGCAGAGAGGGGTTTATTTTTAATAAATTAAAGATGTTCTTGTATTTGTCGGGTCTGTCATGCACTATATCACCAGCTCTCTTGGGTTTTTACAGCATTCAAGGTTTGTACAGGAGTGCAAGGATGCTGAGCCAGACGTGCTCTTTGTGGGGGATTCCATGGTACAACTAATGCATCAGTATGAGGTCAGAGTAAAGTCTTAGAAAACATTTTTAAATTAAACAGGACACATCTGGATGTGATTCATGTGTCTTGAATTGCACAATAAAGACAGCGAATAAAAGCCATACGTTTATCTTTGCTCACTGTTGATTTTTCTTGATGACGCACTAGTTATCATAATCGACCTGACTCAAATGCATATTCATGGTTTTCTGTCCAAAGGTGTGGAGGGAGTTGTTCTCCCCTCTTCACGCGCTCAACTTTGGCATTGGAGGGGACACCACCTGTAACGTACTGTGGAGGCTGCAGAATGGAGAGCTGGAGAACATTCGCCCCAAGGTGGGACGAGCCCGCTAACAGAAAGGCAGATGAGGACAGTATAATGCGTCCACACTGATGTCCACAGTTTCACATTTCACACACTCTGACCTCCGAGTTTTGTGACTTTCATGTAGATCTTGAGCTCTTTCTTCATAAGTGCAAGTTTCAGCATTGACCTCGGCAGAAGTCAATGCTCTTTAACTTCTTTGTTAAACTTGATATTCATCTATTTGGCTTAATTGCTCTAAAAAACCCCAAAATGTCGCTTAATTGTGTTGTATCTCATATGTTATGTCATTCGCTTTGATATAAATTCTGCAGGGTTGGACGTGTTTAGCAGAAGTGAATAAATTGTCTGTCCTCTTGTCCAGGTGGTGGTGTTGTGGGTAGGAACCAACAATTATGAGCACACAGCAGAGCAGGTTGCAGGAGGAATTCTTGCCATTGCAGAACTGCTCACTACTCGCCTCCCCAAGGCAAAGATAGTTGTCCTGGTAAGTTTAGTCATATGTTGCATCTTGTCTTGCTTGTTTGTCTTAAACTCATATTTTGAGCTAGAACTTTCAATTATATTGACATTTGTTCCTGAGCATTAACATAAAGGCTCTTTAACGTGGTGATATGCACACAACTTGAATACAATTTCAGGTGCCTTAAATAACATGACTGAGGAGTTGATGCCACAATATAACCAACAGACAGAGGAAAGTTAGTTTCCTTTAATTGTGGACACACAGTTTGATATTAGTTATTAGAAACTCGTCTGCATACAGATTGGTTGAACATGTGTAGCTAATAAAGTACACGTCTTTTACTTATGTACAAGTCATCACTGTGAGCTCAGAGCTCAGTTTTTTCTCATGTTGGATCGGTATAGTCAGTAGGATCATGGTTATAATTCTGGCTGAGCACAGAACTCCTACCATCTGCTATTCAAATCTTGTTTCAGAGGCATCCATCAGGAGATATTTGGCTTAAAAAGAGAGGAGGAAGCTAAAACAGCTTCTTCAGAGGTGCCTAAGGAGTGTTTTGAACAGTGAATCATTCAGAGCTTGTCTAGTAGAGTCCAAGAATAAAAATATGGCGCTTGAAATTAGCACGATATGTCTCCTTTAATATAATAATTTCAGTAAATAAGTCAGCTCTGTTTCTGTGGTCCTCAGGGTTTGTTGCCTCGAGGGGAACGGCCCAACCCACTCAGGGAGAAGAACGCTGCTGTTAACGCTCACCTGCGCTCCTGGCTGCCACGGCTGAGCCAGGCTCAGCTCTTGGATGTGAGCAGGGAGTTCGTCCACTCCGATGGAACCATCAGCACTCAGGACATGTTTGACTTCCTTCACCTTACTTCAGCAGGTTACGACTCTGTGGCCAAGCCCCTCAGTGACCTGCTGCTGCAGATTCTTGAGGAGACGCCAGAGGAGAGACGAGCATCGCTGGTTTGAGGGCTACGGCCACGAAGCACACTTCTCCAGAGGCATGTCTCATCTCCTGCTGCTGCAGTGGCTGAGACATGCCCCTGGTACCTGAAGGAGGAAGGGCTCACGCTCAGGGGGATGAAGAAACCTGATGTGAGTGGGCCCACGTGGGGTGTGGGATCACATTCTTGAACAGAGGGTTGGGTGTGGGAGAGGCGGCGACGCGGGAGAGAGACCTCATTACCGACGTAGACACTGTGATTGCAGTAGTAATGTGAAACGGATTCACCAAGTTCGTGCAACTCTTAATTTTAGACTAGATTTAATGAGATCACGAGGGACTGCAGTGGCACGTGCACACAAATTAATCTCGGCACGTGGACAAAACGAGCGTTTTGTCCCTCACCTGTACTGCAGGAACACAAAGCACCATCTAATTTATTTCTTCATGTTTTAATATCCATAAAACAATTCCTTGGCAAGTATCTCTGTCAAACACATGTCCCTGCTCATTGTGCGCTTAGATGGCAGAACCTTAGTCAACACTGGACAATGTTATGAGTGTGGCCAGTACACCAAAGAGCAGTGGTTTCCAACACAGAGGGGGTCCAAATCCTTCCCTTGAAGGTACAAATAAACTTTCATTAGTCAGTTTTAAGAATAAAGAGATATTTCTGCTACACTTAAATCTCTTCAGTGTCATTCAATCTCCCAAAACTCATAAAGAATCAATCAAGTTACCCCTCAACAGTCCACGAGATGAAAAGCAACTGCTGCAGAGAAGATAGCGCTGAGATGCACGCTGTTTACCAGTGAGCAGTATCTAAAAGAACTAACTCTTTTTTGCTTAATGTGTAACACTGCAATGCATAGAGCATATTAAATCACTCTAATAGTTTTTTCAGTTCACTAATTATGTCTTTATGTACGTAAACAACTGCTCTGCGAAGCGAGAGCACTTAGTTTATTTAATGTTCACTTTTGAACTTGATGTGTAACTATTGTTTGAAACTGTTAATCACTATGAAATGTATCACTGCATAATTCACTGCTACACACACACACACACACGCACACACACACGCGCGCGCAGATTAAAATTATTCTGGTTCCTGTGTTGCGCAAATGTTCAGTTCGAGCCACATCTTGCTGTTCGCTTCATGCTTGTTTGAAACTGAGCCTCAGCTTAAATGTAAAAAGGCTTCTGTGTTATATTACTCAGTCAGTGAATGTCACACATTGCTGCATATTCATTAGTGAGATTTATGCTGCTCAATCCACTTCTCTGGTAATCTTTAGGTCTTCCAAAATACCTCCAGCCTCTCTGCTAAAGTACGAAGCTTCTGTCCGAGCTAGCAGTAGTGTTTACATTGTGGAATAGCGTCATTAATTAGATTATTTGAATGTTTTTAAAATAGGTTATATGCATAAAATGTGCTGCTTTTTTGCAACAGTATGCTTGATTTTGTTTGTCTTATAAAGCAAAGTAAGAAGATTGGAGAAAATCAGTGGCTGTCCTGCTTTTGTTTTTTCTTTTTTTTTCCTTTTTAAAGTATTTCTGATCATGAATAATTCCTGAGTTAGGCTGATTGATGTGCTACATACTGCATTATCCAAATGTTCATACTCAGACTCTCAGACCAGCTCTCTCTCCCTCTCCCTGCTTAACACCTAGATGTACAGTAATCTCTCCTCCTCACTTCTTGCCTCTTTACTTGTGGCCCGTCGTGTTTGTGGTTGAACCTCGCCCGACCCCGCCATCCTGACTTACTTCTGTACATGGTGTAGTTATTGAAGGGGGAGAGTCTAGCCACATGGTTACGCTGAACGTACTATAATCATGCTAACTACTATAAAGCATCACAGGCCATGTAAAGAAAACCTTTTGTCTGTGAGCTTGCTGCAGCCGCCTGTTCTACACTGTTTGCGACAAAGAGTCTGCTGTCGAGCATCGAGATGTCAAATGTTACTGCTGTCTTAAGCTCTGCACATTTGTGTGACGTGTTGAATATAAATGGTGTACGTGTGCGTGCCTTAAGCGTTCATGAGGGCGGGTGTGTACAGCGTGTCCGGTACCGGATTGTGTGAGTGTCATGAAATGACAATGTTGGGGAAGAATGATGTTTGTAGGCTGGACTCTGTGTTTGCTGTGACACAGTATTTGCACTGTTCTGGCTTATTGTTATGTTATTGAGGTAAAGCATTCCAATAAATAATAAAATAATAAAAACAAGGACCTAATCGTGTTTTGTTTTTTTTGTCTTTGACATCAGCAAATAATGATTTACTTAAAAATAAGAAGAGGAAACCTGAATTTGAGGTGCTGGATCCGCTCTTGTATTTTTCAGTGCTGTGTGTAAGTGTTACACGGCAACAAAGGGAGCCATTTAATCAGAGTACCAAATTGAGAAAGACACTAATAAGGCTCACTGCTTGTTCCTTGGCTCCATAGAGTTTCTCAATGCTTAATTAGTTTGCTTTCACTAAGTTTATCCCCCTAATGTAACACTTCAACAGCACTTGGTTGCAGTGTGGACTCATTAAACAGATTAGGTGCACTGCTCAACTGTGACTGCGCGCACGTTACATTTTTCTCCCGCCTTGATTATTGTAACTCACTTTTCACATGCCCATAGTCACAGCTGTTCCTGCATCCGTTCACTGGCTTCCAGTTTTATGTTAACATAAAACGCTGTACATGGACAGAGCTTCTGGGACCTTCTTGGAAGTTATATTTGTCACAATTTTTGCTGCCCTCTCGGCCTGATCTCTCTTGAAAAACACATTTTTAATGTCACTGAGACTTTATATCCCAATAAATAAATAAAGAATATATGAAAGTCACTTTGCCAACAACAGCTTTTACCTTGTGAATGTTTTTTCTGGCTCAAAATGACTTCATGTTATTCGTGAGCGATATGAGAGATGACAGATTACAGGCCAACAAGTCCTTTATAACAGTTTCAATTCCTGCAGTAATTTTCTGGCAAATGCCGGGAATCACTTTTTGGCAGACGATCAGTTTTTGGCACAACGCCGGCCTCTCCCATCCTCTAACCAGGGTCTCCTAGCTGTCCCCAGCTCTGATTTTATTGCTTAGCCTTTCCTTAATCTTTTCCCCTTTATTTTGGGCCATAGTGTCGCTATTTGTGTGTATGTTGGATTGAATGTCTGATCGTAAAGTTGATAATGTGTCTGTCTGGTGGAATGTGGATGTTTGTCTTGAATGTGTGGCTTTTATTCAAACTGTGAAGCATTTTGTAACTCTCTGTTTTGAAAAGTACAAATAAAGTTGTTTCTTTCTGTCAGAGGCACGAGCTCTTCCTGTTGACAGGTTTTGTTATAGTTTTTTTAATTTTGTGGATCAGTGAAAAATGAAAATAAACACATGTACACCCTGTCTACAGACCGCTTAGTCTAAATATCCCTTTAATGTTTTTGGAACTGTAAAAGCCAGCCATGTAGACCCAGGATAAATATTGCAATTTTCCTTCTGTCAACACACTGTTTGAACGTGAACTTTGTAATCCCAGCAGGCATCAGAGGAAACACCCTGATGTAATCTGCTCCTGGTCCTTTGTGCGGTTCCTGCTCTGCTCACCTCTGCCCCAGATTTCATCTTATCTATGACCCTGTGTTTTAAAGGTTTGTAATGTTTTGCCAGGTGGAATGATCGGTGCAGCAGATGAAACACGCTGCTGGCTATCAAACCAATAGATCATCTCCCTCAGACAATAAACAGCTCACACAAACAGCCACAGAGGCTCATTTATCATGAAAGTTGTTCCCAAGTTTTTATAGCAGAAGCCAAAAATTGCAGCCTAGATTTGTGTTTTCCCCACATAAATCATATTTATTCAACTTAAGCAGCCTGACTTATTATTTTCAGCTGCAGTGACTCTATAACCCAGCAGGGGGCACTGTCGCCTAGCTCAGGAAATCACTTGTGCTACACAGATATGCCTGTGACTCCATTTAAATTGAAACACACACACACAAAATGGAATAATTTTAAAAGTTTCGCAGTTGTATTTTTTTTATGATTCCCCCCCTGCAACTTAAAAAAAATCCCCACGAAGTTGTTGTGAAACAGGAATTTGTTCATTCCTTTAACCTCCTGAGAGCTGAACTCTTCCATGGCATGAATTTTTAATTTATCTTTGATATTTGGGACGTTGGGACCTGATCAATGTAAAAACAAAGAATTTCCTGATTTTTTTTTTTTTAACCTGATTTTTGTTTCTGAGAGAAATGAGATCCACATATAAGGACATTTATTTTACATTTTGATAGAAAAGTGGCAGTATAACGTCTTCGTATCTGGATATCAGGCCTTTGTAGAGCAAAATGTATTATTTTGGTCTAGACAAGCCAAAATGTGATGTCCACATACGTGGACGCCAGGTCCTAAGAGGTTAAAAAAAAGTTGCTCTATTTCCAGCCTGAATTGGTCATATTTCACTCATGGGCTTTTGTTTCTTTCATCATACAATGTGACTTGCATTTAGTGTATGATGGGTCTCATATGTTGTTGTTGTTGTTCTGAGACCTTTGTGAAGTAAAAGGTTAAGATCATCCTGTCACATGTCACAATCAGATTATGTCGTTTCAGAGGAAATGAAATACAGAAGCTGTTATGATAAAAGCAGAAATTCAAACAACTCAAAAAAGTCCCTGTAATAAATTGTTTGTGGTTGCTTTAGCTACAGAGCAACTATTTACATCGGAAGGTCTGATTTGTTATTACCAGGAGACCTGTGTGTGTGTGTGTGTGTGTGTGTGTGTGTGTGTGTGTGTGTGTGTGTGTGTGTGCGATTCAATTAGGCCTGCATACCTCTCCAGCAAGAGCACACCTTCGTAGAAACAAAGTCAGGTAAAACACTGATGTTGATTAGGCGATGAAGTACACGGTGAGTTTTGGCAGGTTAAGTAAGAATCAATCAATCAATGAGCTTTCAGCTCGTCCCCTTCTCCCCTCACAGCTTTGTTTTCCTCTCAAAGGGATTTGAACTGCGGACTAACCTTTCAGCTCTCAGCCCTCTGCCTCAAAACACCAACAGGGGAAAACACCTGCCTCCTAATTTATGTTACACAACATCTCACCCAAATTCATTCAGTGCCACCACATGAAGAGCAAACACCACATGCAGCGATACCACAGCACCTTCCTCTGTGGTTTCTGATGCTATATTCATGCCAATGCCTCGTTTACTTGTATTTCTAGGGAAGCTACGCTGGAGGTAATTTTATAAGTGATGTGACATCTTATCCTTAACCATTCATTTATAATCTAAAATTGCAGTCTCCAGCTGAGTCCCCACTGTTATTTTGCCTTTCTGCATTTGGAAAACCACAGTTGTAGTTGTATGTGGATATAAAGAGTCAATGCAACAAAATAAATGCTAACCTTGCTCTGTGAAATGCTCACGGTGTAATAAATACTCACCTTATTTCTCATAAATTTCCTCTGGAGATACATAAAAAAAAGTTTTTTCACTCACACTGAGCCTTCCAAAGGGCCTTTCTGCTATTTGACCAGGTTATTGAATAATCCTCCTATATTCACTTATTTTTTACAATGCACCTCTCCTTTACTGTCTGGATCCTAAAATGAATTCAGCAGGTCTTTGGTCTGGAAAGGCCTTTCACCTGAGGCGATCATTCTTTATCTGCAGCCTTTTGTGTTGTCATTTAATGACCTCACAAAGCCACACAGAGTGCAAGAAGCATATCAATATTTTTGATTTCACCTAATGTATAAAAATATATACATTATAGATATAGATAAATATGTTATTATATATATTGAAAGCTAGTCTCTCTACCTATAGTGTGTTCTAAGTTAATGTTTCTAAACCTGCGCTTGTCTCTAAAATGTGCGTCTCTTCTATTTTTTCACACAGCTCTTGCTTGTTCTCCGTTTTTGATGAGATTTATGCTCCAGCACTGTGACTTTTGAAAAGAAGGCGTCACTCGTAACCTCTCACGTCCCTTCCTGACATTGTGTACAAATCAAACTCGCCCACAAAGCGCATTAAAATTTTATCCCCTCTCATTTATGGCATGACATCTATTGCAAAAGCCATTATTATTGTCAAAATAAAAATAAATTGAATTCAAACTTTCCCCTGAATGAAATTACATATCTACAAACAATGCCTATCATAACACAACTGATCCAGTCATGGGTAAACATATAAATCAGCTGTCAACGTTTTGGTTTGTGGAAGTTTGGAACTTAAAAAAAAGTTTATATGTGTATCCAGTGTGCTAGAATTAAACTGTATAGTTGTACAGATAGTTAGGTTATCAGATTATAGTTCTCATTTTCATTGTTAGATTAGATTGAAGGGCTTAAAAATAAATGGAGTTTATTTGTGATGGCGATGGAAACACCTTAAATCAAAGGGGTTGTGTGGAAACTGGGGAAGTTAGCATACTGCAGCTATCAGAGGTTCGCCACATGACTGCTGCAGATAAAATAATTCATGATAGGATATAATTACAATATGAATAGACATTTTTGAAAGTAATAAAATCACTTTGTTTACCTTTGGTTTTATTTCCTTTACAGACAAAAAAAAAAGAACTTTATGAAGGTGGAAGTTGGACATTCTGTCAATTAGTTATATATGTAGTAGTTATGTGTTTGGTTTCAATACTTCATTAACCAAAAACAGAGAACCTAACAGTGAGACTTAAAATGTCCCTGCATGAATTCATTCCTTTGACCCAGAAGAGTAAGTTGTGTTTATGATGTTTCTATGAGAACATCAGGGCAGTGTCGCCCATTTTTTGTTTTGTATTTTAAAAACATGATGTCAGATTTCCAGTTTTGGCCCATTCACACTACGTATCCCAGGGGAGGGGTAACTCCAGGCCTCAAGAGCCAGTGTCCTGCAGGTTTTAGATGTGTCCTTGATCCAACACAGCTGTTTAAATGGCTAAATAACCTCCTCAACATGTCCAGAGTCCTGGTAATGAACTAATCATTTGATTCAGGTGTGTTGAACCAGGGTGATATCTAAAACCTGCAGGATCAATTCTCATTCAAATACATACAACACAGCTAAGAAACAGACAAACTACTTTCTTGAACTTTCTTGAATGAGGCCATAGCAGTTTTTGTTGGTGATTGTGAAGAGGACTCTGTGAAACCGAGCACACAGAGCAGCCAGTAGTAGTCACTAGTCCTGCAAAAAGCATGCAATCCCTCACTGGCTTCTCACTGTTCACTTTAAACAAGCCAGAAGTCCTACTGTCATGGACTGAAGCCAGGGCTCTGAAATGGTGTGCAAAAACTTTTCCACTGCGTCAATCAGTGTCCCGCCTAACCAACTTTACTAACAGTAGCATTAGTTCTAGCCTGATAATCAGACTGAAAGGCCGTTTGAGTTACATGGATTTTCAGGTTTGGGCCAGATGGCTTTCGGTCTGACTGGTTCTTGCTTGCATGTTTAGGTCCTTATAGAAATTAAACAGAAGTTACTCATTGTGTCATGATATCTGAATGCAATGTTGTAACCTTCTTCTTGAGACACCGCTGAATAAATAAATGCTGAAACTTGCATAGTTAAGTGGTTCCCAAATGACCTTTTGGCATAATGGAATCAGCCCTTTCCTGCAGCCACTGGAGCGAGGGGGGCTTTACTCCCAACCCTTATGTGTCTTATCCAGCAGCACTGCAGTGGCTGAAAAAGGGGAAGGAGGTGTTACATCAGCTTCCCCTGTCACATTTTCCCAGCTGGTCCAAATATTCAAACTGGCTCAAAAAAAGTAGCTTCTCTAATCTCAAGGCGATCATAATCCGCCCTGTTATGCCCCTCCATGGCAGCAAAGTACCTTCCACTGCGGTGAGCCCAGTCACACTTTCATCAAAACCTTGATGGGAATGAAAGGCCTTCTATCAAAAAACGCTGCGCACCACTACTCTCTTTCAAATTATCTGAAGAAAAAAAAAGAAAAAAGACTGTGACTATGAGAAAAAAAAGAGGAAGAGCTGAGTGACGTGTGTTTTTGTTTGTTTGTGGGATAATTCAAATGTAACAGATGGGTTTTTCAGGTTCACTAATTTCAGCTGCCTTTCAGCACTGCGGGTCAGGAACAATGTTTTGCCTCAAACTGCTATTTAAATCTATGTAATAGTTACACACGCACCTCCCTGGAAGTAAAACAGTTCAACCACTGTATTTAGCGCCACTGTTGTGGAGTGATGCTCCTCACTCAGGGATCGTTATGCATAAAAAAAAGGGCAAGTGTGTTTTTCCTGTTTTGGGTTTAGTTACACAAATCAAGTTACACCCAGTTTAAATAACTTGTTCTGGTCCCACCACCACAGAGTTTCTGCACACGTTATTCACACAGTTTAAATTTGTGAAACCTCAAGGCACCGTGTTTACCACAACTTTCTAAAACAGTTGGAAAAATAAATCACTAACTAATCATTAGTTATGTAAAAGAGAAGATAAGGTAGCAAAAGCAAGGAGTAAAAGTGTATGCATACATGTGCCTGGCACTTTTTTAAGTAAACCTTGCCAGTACTGTGTTGAAAACCCCTTTTACCTTCTGAACTGCCTCAATTCTTCATGGCACAGATTCAACAAGGTTCTCACCCTACCACTGAAATGTCTCAGCAGAAATCAAGACTCATCAGACCAGCAACTTTTTCCACTTTTTCCATCTGATTGGCTAATGAGAGATAGTTACGTAAATGAGCAGCTGAGCAGGTGTACCTGGAAAAGATGCCGGGGAGTGTAGATATTCAGTCAATAAAGGAGCTTAGCAGAGATGAAAAGGCAGCAAATGGGCACCGAATCCACACATTAACTTTGGTAAAGTTTTTGCCCCTTCAAACAGAAATATATAATTCAATTCAATTCAGTTTTATTTATATATATATAGCGCCAAATCACAACAAAAGTTGCCTCAAGGCGCTTTATATTGTACAGTAGATACAGAGAAAAGCCCAACAATCACATGACCCCCTATGAACAAGCACTTTGGCGACAGTGGGAAGGAAAAACTCCCTTTTAACAGGAAGAAACCTCCAGCAGAACCAGGCTCAGGGAGGGGCGGGGCCATCTGCTGCGACCGGTTGGGGTGAGAGAAGGAAAACAGGAGAGGTCTATTAACACATAGTGAGTGAGAAATATACAGTAGATTATCTGTCATGTGTTGCAATGACCAAAAAAGAAAAAACTTGCTTGTTATATCAGTGGATGTGCAAATAAACTTGGATACATGTTGTGAGACTCAAGAGTTCATTGGTGCTGATTTGGCACTAACACTCCACGCGTGTCTGCTAGTGTTGAAATAAATATTAGTTTTGAAATCATAAACACATCTTGACTCTTATAACAGTCTGGGCTTTGGCAGAGATAACAGCTGCTGTCACGCTGACACTAATGGGCCACAGCTTATCAACAGCAGAGTGGGCTCTATTAGTAGTATTAAGTTGCTTGCTATCTTCAAAGTCATCAATTTTCTCAGACTAATGCTTTTATTGTGAAAATAAGTCACTATAAAAACACAAGTACATGTTGCGCTTTGATGGATAACCTACAGTGTTGTTGTCTTTGCTCCACACTGGTTCCACCTCCATTTACATTATACTAATTTACCCCCTTTGTGTCAGCACCTACGCAGTTTCCTGCTAAGAAGGAAGAGGAAAAGGAAGTCTCTTTTTAACCCTCCTCCTGCAATGATTCGTCCTTTTTTGGAAATGCTCTCTACTATCTGAAATCCTCCTCTGTCATGACCTGTACTCCTTCTGACCCAAGCCACCTTAATCTCCAGACTCCATCTGGATATATATTTTTTATTTTTTAAAGCTGCACTTTTTCCTCTTTTTTCATCAAAGCATCTTCTTTTACTGTTTTCTCTCTACTGCTGCTCTTTTCCATCTCTGGCTGTTTCTGAGTCATTTCATGCTGAACAGCTTAAGCTGGACCAAAGCAAGAACACAGTATAAACAAAACCCTGGCAGCGATAACGATAGTCTCTCACTGGCTTCTCTTATTCCATCAAAGTAGGCAAAGTCCAACATTATTTATTACTCCCTTACATTATTTTCTTCACCTTTGCCTTTGGCAGCCTTAGCTGACCTCTCTTTAAAGTACAGCTCAGCTTTACGGCACACAAACATACGTGTCGCCCTGACTACCTGCAGAAACTGATGTTTTTATTATCTGTTGCTAGGCACATAGGTTGCAGTTTACCAGCTACCAGTTATCAAGAGTCATGATAGCGACGGTGACATCATTGAGTGTGAACAGGACACACTTCCTTAGGCCATAGATTCATTACAAAAGAGGCTTCTTCAAAAGTTAAATCAAACTTTATTTCAAAGAGGCGGTCCAACATTTTGATTGACTCACGGCGTCTAACAATAGATTATGTAATAGAACAGTAAAAACACACACAGGTGTAGTTTATACCTTTTTCAAACCAAGCAGTTTATTTTCTAAAGTTAATTAAACTTGGCTGTATTACTGGATGCGTTTGTTATAACCTACTAACATTACTGTAAACCACAGCAAACTGTACGTGTCTTACCTTTCGTTAAGTTTTTACTTCATTCCAGTACAAATTGAATCAGCTGAAACTTGGTACCTGCTTAAGGTTGTAATCTGTGAAGCTGTAACACTAAGTACCCAGAAAAGCTGCAGTAAGACACAGTAAAACATCTGTGTCTTACTGCAGCTGTTGTGGGGAAAACACTCATAACAATCCTCGGAGGTGTATTTAAGTACATCCTGACATCCATGAATTGACGGCTATGTCATCAGAAGGACAGAAAGAATAAAGTCAACAAAGACAGTGTACACTAAATAATGAACATTATCATTAAATTAAAGACTTCATGACAGAGTCTTACATCTTTGGTGTCCTTGAATGCGCGCGCTGCTAGAGTTTTGAGAAGAGGCATTGACTGCAATAATGCAGATGTTACAGGAAAGAATAAAGCAAACAGAACATTGAAAGTGGGGGATTTCTAGGGATTTCTTCTCTCACGCAGGTTTCAAGTCCCTGCAAGCAGATTTTTCTTTGTTGTAATGAAATGGTCTGAAGCTCCCTGTCTGTGCAAGGTAAGAAATCAAACATGTCTAACATTGTGGTCTCCAGTAATGATTTTAAGGTAATGAGTTTAAACATGCAAAGCAACTGTTTTTGATTCTGTAACAAAAGAAATTATTTACAATGAGTCAAACAAAAGAAACATTGTTAAATGTTTGATTTCTACTGTTAAAGATCTACATGTGCACTTGTTCTCGTTGGTCCCTATTTTGGTCCCGTTAAAATCTGAAAAACAGTCAGGTCACATTTTTCCTCATATCCAAGGTAAGAGTCAAAGTCTCTTCCTCCTTGCTCACTGGCCTTCCAGAGGGCAGAAGGAGGGCGGTTTAAGAACTGCTCCGGTTCAGGGGTTGTTGATGATCTGCCTGGGGCGTCCGTAGCCTGTCATGCCAGCTTGAGATGCTCCTTTATTTGTGCCCATTTGCAGGCCGATGACACTTTGGCCTTCTTTCAGCTGTTCCTCCGAGAAATCTCTCCTGTTCTCCTGGGCTTTTCTGCACACACAAACAGACGTCAGTCAGTGCTCAAACCTCCTTTGCGTTTCATCTTTCCTCAGAGGCAAGCATATTTACAGGACAAGGAGGACAAGCTTACTTATGGAACCAGCTGGGGTCTCCTTTGTAATTCCCATCACCCTTTGTGACAGCCACACTTCCCAGAGCCATCAGGGTCCTCTGGACAGCAGCCAGATCTTTGCCTGCAGACATGCAACATCCTCACATCAACAGAGCCCACGGAAATACAAGGAGGAGAACCTGTACTGTATTTTCCCTCTTGAGTCTCAATTGTTACAGTAAAGAAAAGCTCTGGTTGGTTGGTTATCTTACCCTCAAAGAGGTCTACAGTCTGAAAGATGTCAGTTTTGGTGACTCCGTAACTTTCAGCTGCTCTGAGGAACATGGAGATTTGCTCCATCTGCTTGAATGCCATGCCAGAGCTCTTGATGGTCTTGATTGGCTTGTTGGCTCCATACAGGCTGTTGATGAGCTCACACAGCACCTAGACACACACGGAGTCCTCTCAATACACTGTTCATAAAGTGAATTACAATGCTTTATAAGGACATTTACACTTCTGCAAAACTAGAACTCACACATCCATCCTTGAGCCAGTTTTGGAAGCCTGTCTTGTTGGGCTGGGGCCGACCGACTCCAGATCCGCACTGGGCAACGATCCACTCCACCAGCCTTTCCTCCAGTTCCGGATCGTATTTCTTATCAATCTTACTCTGAACCTCACGGGTCAGACCATAGGAGGGACCTCTGTTTGCCATTGTAATCCTAATGGAAGGGAAAGTCAATGTTAGATAGGCTGGTAGCTCAGCAAACTCCACTCCCTGGCAGCATTCTAATATCTGATAGATTTAATAGTGTTCACATACCGATGCCTGCCCCGCTCACACCCACAGATGCAATCAATCCAGTGAATGTGTTTCCACTGAATGTTCTGTTATTTATGAGGAGCTGTTACTTTGAAACTTTTAGATTGAGGAGACTTTCTAAAAGTGAGCATATTTTTGTTGGTCGTCACTTTCACACCTCAAGAGGCTCATTTATCATTTGAAGTTAGTGCGCTCTTCATATGTCTCAAATCTCTGCTGTGTATGAAACAAATACGAATATTTGCCATACTATCAGGGTTAGATGGATTAGAAAAGAAGCCGATGACGACCTGAGGACAAGAGCGTGAGCAGGGCACTAACCATGCAATGCACACAATAATCTGAGTTTTCCATTATCCAGGCCGCAGCAGTGCAGCTATTTAGCAAATACATTTCTGACAATGGAAATTAAAGTGTTTAATGACTTGAGGAATTCCAACTTTGTTGCACTCTGAAAGTAATTATGGTTGGTTTATCTGACATATTAATGCACAAAGAACTTCCTGTTGGCCTCAGCCAAACCACCCTACTCCCTCCATCCTGTTTGCACATTCAGCTGTCATTTCCTTCCTGACTAAGGTAGCTGTGTATATACAGGAATCTAAACATAACAACATAGTGTTGCTCACTATGGAAACGGTCTGTAAGAAAAAAACAGAAAGAAATACTATCGCAATACACAATTTGCTTTTACAGATCCAAATCGAGTCGCACAACGGCACAACAACTTTGGAATTTTCCACGAATCCACATAACAGATGGGGATGATTATAGCTCGTTCTCCCCTTTTTTCTCCATTTACTGTAATAATTTACTGTGATAATATCTGCACATTTAACATCTAAGGTAAGCAGGTGCTCTGCAAATATCAGGATTCAGAATCACATCTGACTCGTAAAAAATTGGAGGATCTATTTTTAATTCTGCAGACTTTAATATACACTTAGAATTATATAGATAGATGTTGCTCCAGGACATACAGGCACACCTTTAGCCAAACAGAGGATTAGTGTTACGCAATATGTGTAGAAAGTTTGACAGTTTATCATTGTGTCCACAGCTCCACGCTGGAGCTGCTATAGACACACACACACACATTGTTCTCTGTTCATTGTCTGAGGTTGCAGTGGTTATGTGGTCATGCGGAGGATAAGTGTCTTCCTGTCTCCAGAGTTATTCCAAAAGTTGTTTGTTAACAGCGGCAAGAGCGAGGAAAATACTCAGCCATCCAAACTCCTAAGTAGCCTGTTTCTCAATCAGACGACTTCCATCTGTGTGGTGTCCGGACATGCCCGTTACATCAAGCAGCTGCAAACATCAGGACCTGAACGTCTTGCAAGGAATGACGAAATCAGAGAAGGCGCTCTTTCAGATTAACCCCGTGTTGAGCGTGAAATCTGATGTATGAGTGACACGTTAAATGGCCAATGTCGCTGTAACTCGCGGCAGCATTTCCAGGGATGATTGTCCACCTAAGCATAATTGTAAAACTGCAACTAGGAGTGTGTGCGCAGGTGTTTATGGAAGCGTGACTTAGAAGCTCACATAGAGCTGTGCACTTAAAAACATAACTGGGAGTGGTCAAGTGGGAACATCTTGTAATCATAAAGTCACATCTACTCCCTCCCATCTCACAATCTCACCCCACAGTGGGCTACTACCACAAAATGATTTGAAGCTTAAACAGCCACTCAGCTGAAATTGTACGTAACACCTCTGAATGACCAAATCATACTTACAACTTGTGTAAGATGAATAACTGAACACTTCCTGATCATTATCATACCTAATTAGTGCATGTCTTATAGTGTGTGTGTGTGTGTGTGTGTGTGTTTGTTTGTTTCTAATCAGAGAGGAGAACACTGCAGATTAATCATTTAAACTGCATGATCATAGAATCCACTAAATCTAGTATTTGAAGCCTTCATTCTCCCAGACGTCTTACTGTACACCATCGTTTTATTAATCCTCTGCTTCAGTTTGACACAGTGGGACTTTTTAATGCCTGTTTTGTGTAGTTTAAACTAGAAACCGTTAGAAATCTGAGTAAGACACCGTTAAGTTACTCAGATGTCGCTCCATATGTGACCGAGTTACTCATCATCAGTCATTTGTCTCACTCCACCCTCCAAACTGTTAAACAATCATATTCTAGTAACTTGCAGACATCTGTTACAAGAGGCTTGCACAGCTTTCATAAAATTGCACCATCAGCTCATGTTGAAATCCTTACTATGTGAACACGGTGGATCCAGACCGAGATTATTTCTTCATGCTCTTGCCTTCCTTCATCTTGCACAGTCCCCACTGTTGTATTTCCACCTCATGACAAAAGATAGCAGTCACCACCTAACGTCAGTTTCTCAAACTATAAAACTTTATCAAGGCCCATAAATCTAACAAAAAATGTGGCAGCAGCAAGCTGCCAGTTGCCACTTTCTGAACCAACAACCTGGTGTTCAAAACATACCCTGAAGAGGAAAATTATATACTATTAGGCAGTAGCGATGAGAGGTTTGTCAGAGGCTGAACCTGTTAACATTTCCTGGAATTGTTAGGTCTCACATGCCGTGAGCACGAGGTGCGTGTTCAGAGGAGAAGCCAGACAAAACAAAATGGGATTTTATAACAGAAGAATGCACAGGCTCACGCAGAATACACACAGGAATGGCTAAATATTAACTCAGTGTATTGCCTCGGCCTGTGTATGACCAAACACAAGCAAGGGAGAAGGAGACAGAGAGCAAGGGTGGAGAGCATGAGAAGCAGTATCATATTTTTCATATTTCCTGCACCAGAATCAGCCACAAGATCCATAAAGAAGCAGAAAAATGTCTGCTGATGAGAATAAAAAAAAGCAAAAAAACTGAGAGGAAAAGAAGAGGAGCCTTTACTTACTTTGTGTAGTAGCTTTCTGGTGAATGCAGGTGGGGTTGGTCTGGCGCTGCTGTGTGTCTGCTCTTCTTCTTCCTCTACAACACAGTGCAGAGTGCACAGTACAGAAGTGGCAGGATTAAGCGAAGCAAACACCCCTGAAGTGTTACACTTCAGTAGAAAGAGGGAGCAAGAGAGAGCTATGCCTTTCAGGTCCTCTTATTTCACTCTTATGACCCGCCCCTACGCTCTTTCTCCTTTTCCCCCCTCAAATTGTAATTCCTTATTTAGGAGACGGGCGGGAAGGGAAAAACAAGACATGTGACTTCAGAGTTTGGTGTGGTCACTGAAAAGAATTCTCTGAATTTCACCCTTTACCACTGAAGAACAAGATGGGATTAGGAGGACAGAAGGGAGGCAGGGATGATCAAATCCTCGAGTGGAGCCTGACAGAGCACGGGAAAGGCAGTTCCAGTAATTAGAGAGCGGGGGAGCGCACATACGAGAGTTTTTAGTGCCTTAAATCAAACTGCTGCTCACTGTGGTCTTTCAAATCAGGCCGAAACTGAAAGAGACAGCAAGCAGATGTCAAATGTAAATCCCCCTTCCTCTCTGTCAGGGTTTTATTTCAGTCACAGTGTCTTTTCTTATAGCTGAAACTTGCTCTTGGCTTTGCACACACTTTCAACAGATACAACGCACAGTTTATAGAGGGGGACACTCCCTCTGAGGCATCTCAGCCTTGTCAGCCACTGTCCATAGAAGCAAGTCAGGACCTGCAGAGTTCTCATGAAATGACTGTTTGAAGCTATCACTGTCTGAAGTCATCAATTAAACCCGCTCATCATGAGTGTAGGTGTTAAAAAATGCTGGGAAGTTTTAATATAAGTGAAGGTTTGTGTCAGACAGACGTCTGATAGAACTTGAAAGGTTTGGTTGTAGTTGAACGTTTCCTCTTTTCTGCACATAAACTGTATCTGCACACACTTTCAGTAGCAGTCAGCTGTACTTCCACCGTCATAAATGTATTTTTTTTATTTGACTTTGGGTTATTTTCTTTGAACTAAACAAGTAGCACACACGAGAAAACAGAACAAAATGAGGGGTTTTTTTTCTTCCCTTCCTCTTCTACATGAACCCAGAGCAAAGTTCATGTTCATGCAGATGACAGAAATCTGCGTGGGAACATTATCCAGCAAACCTGTAAATGTCAGATATACACAAACACAAGAAATTCCACACGCTGGTGAGCTCGGAGCAAAAGCCAAACACACTCAGCGTTTCTCATCTTTAGGCAAAGCGGTTAAAGGCTTATCCTCCCTGGTTTTTCATCCTTCAGCCGAGAGCTGTGACGTAATCACCTGCCTTGAATTTGATGGTTCCCAGTGTCAGATCTACAGACCTTTTCTTGATTTTAAACTTTCCATCTACAAAATCCTGTTTCAATAAGAAGTGGGAGCTTTGGTTTGGTTTATTTACATCTCTATAGGCTGTTCCTGCGCAACAGCAGCATCTGGTGGCTCAGGGTGGCAGATATCAGGTGACATCATCTCACTGCTTCTCCCACTGCAGGGGTGCAAACAAGTGCAATTGCAAGTTAAAATATGTTCAAATGAGAACTAAAATGCCCTCCGTGTTTAACCTTGTGCTGAGAACACATTTGAATGTGTTTTATTTCAGGTTGGTGGACATGCCGCTGGGTGTTAATGATCATGCTGGGAGATGCTAAGCTGCTAATTGAAAAAGAGCTGACCCATGGAGAAATACCCGTGAGGTCATCAGGGTTTGTAAAATCAAGCAAAGGAAAAGAAACAGATGGAGACCATAAACCTAATGCCAGGAGCTGAATTATTTAAATGCAGACCTATTTTAGACTGATGAACTTTAGAGTGCTATAACACTCTTTATAGGTACACCTGGCTGTCCTTGGTCAGAAAAGTAGGTACAGCTGCAAGTTCTAACAAGCCAGGTTTGTTGGTTGGTTCGTGCACACTTAAATATATAAAAAATCGTTGGGTGGATTGTCCTGAAATTGGTTACTTTGCACAATTATGACCCCCTTCAAGATATATTGTAATAACCTTTCATCGAGCAGATCACATCTTTAAGCTTTTGTTTCCCGCAGCATTCCTATCATACTCAGCCACACTTAGTGCTGACGTGCAAAATCCAAAATAATCTGCTAAACTAAAATGCCTACTTTCACCATTGTGAGCACTACTGTATGGTTTGCATAGCCTCTTTTTTTATTCTTTCTTTGTTTATTTAAAAATAATGACTGAATAAATAGAGTGCATCTATAAAATCAGGGTCTTATCTCTTGCTGTGTTTTGAAGCCAGTGTTTTGTGCGGTAGAGATGAAAAGCGAAATGGAATTTAATATTTGGAAGCAGTCCAAGGATGTAATGCTTTTATTTTCAACCTTTGGTAATGTATTAGCTGCACTCATTGTACTGGACCTTCACTTTGTTTGCATATTTCTATAATGGCTCTTGTGGCTGAATGCCAGCTTGAGATTGAATGCTAACATGGCTGTGTACTGCAGAGCCTCAGATGTTGTTGATCAGGTGAACTACTTACTGGGTTGAAAGGGAAAGGGAAATTATGATTGTCTCATCTCTTTTTTAATTCATGCACAATTTGTTATGCTGTGTTAATGTTGAAGGGCAGAGAATGGAAAAGCCTCCATCAAGATAATCGATGAGAAAAGGACCTTTCACACCATCTAAAGTTTTCTTTGTGCAATGTTATATTAATAAACTGAAAAAACCCTTCAACATGAAGTGATACTCTCTTTACGCCCATATAACCACATATCATCAGCAGCAGGTTTGCACTGCAGGAGGTGTCATGATGTTGATATCTGTGGACTAATAAAGAAATCTACATGTTCAGACCACGGGTGGTCTCAGTGCCTGACCTTCGAGGGTAAAGTACACAACAGGAAGCATGTAGTCTATTTAAATTCTATCAGTGAGTTTACCC